CTGTCCACGAGGTTGAGCCGGCGTTGTAGATCTCGGGTTGTTCTTCTTTTGCCTTTGATGCGGAGGAAGTACAGGCGTAGCCTAGTTGTTGCAGAAAGTGTTGTGATGGTTGAGCTACTAATCCCTTGCAGGTTTATCGACCATCCGTTTCACCGGTGTAAACAATTGGGCTCAGCCTTGTAGACTTGGTGCGTGCGTACTGAACTGAACATAGCCGAGCCCATCAGTCAGTACCAATGATTACATATAGTTGTGCAAGGAATGGATGTATCTATCCGGTACATGTAGTGCGTCATTCCATCTGTCCTGTGCCTTGTAATCCGATAGCTATCCATGCCATTACCATGGAATATTAATCAGATCATTGAAGCCTCAATTATGATTATTGTTTGATTAATCACCAAGGTTAGTAGCTATTTTGGAATTGTAGCCGTCACATGTCTGGAGTGTTCCGTATAATTGTTAATCAAAACCCTAGCACAGTCTCGTGCTGAAATTGGAATGTTTATTTGACATCTATTTTGGGCCTACTACGTAGTCCAATTGGGCTATGTAGACAGTATTATATCCCAGAATCGGAAGGAAGCAGAAGAAACCTTCCGGATGATAGTGATGGTGATCTGAGCTATGTAGCGCAAGTTATAAGTTCGGGTTCTAACTAGCTAAAGCACGCCGGACTGGGCATTGCGTGCTAAGTAGTGGCATACTCCAAATGATCTGCTCGTGGGGCGTTTGAGTTCTGTCACCTATGTAACTAGATCGGTCACTAGCTACTGCATACGTGTTGCTAGCTCCCTTATAGTATACCGTCACCTATTGTCTTTCATTTTCCTGCACCAGACTTAGGATTTAGGATTAATAGGCCCTATAATCTATCTAAGCCACACTTTCCCATCAGATAGAAAATCATGTGGATTGTTTCTGTGCAGTCTCAGAATGGAAAGCCTTGAAGCTCTCAATCTCGTAGCTCGTGTCCAACAACGATATAGTCAGCTCTCAAAACACACAGGCACATATGGATTTCAGACGAGATCCTCCGCCCTACTACTCAGTCACAGTTGTTTTGAACCGAAAATACTGTACTACTCTGGTGTACATGTATCCAGAGTAAGTCTGTCTCCAGGAAGCTAACTGACCAGCTGCTACTGATGCTACCTTCGTGACCACGGATACAGTACTAACTCTTACTCGCCCTGTGCGTGTTCACGTCGATGAATACTGTGATAAAGATGACAATCTGGATAGAAGCACAGTCTTATGATGCATCTTCCATCTCCCACCCAGGTGGTACATGAGGCCGACCACCTATCACTCATCCCTTAGCTCCGAGGTATCTCGAGATCGCCCAGAACCAGCTATTGGCATCCTGATCGATCGAAGGTAATCGTTAGAGTGATATCAAACGCCAAGCTCTAGCGTCCTACTGAGATAATATTCATGTTGATATTGACCCCACGAGAAGCCAGCTGGTGCCAGGGGGTCTCGAGGAACAATGCAATGGCCGCGTGGAAAAGGTTCCTTCCACGGCCATTTGAGCAACTGTAAGTAGTCATGCCGAATCTCATTCTGGGTTTTCGTTCTTGCCGGTGATACTGTTATTGACTGACGCAGTCATATAACGTGCATGTGGTCCGTCGGCCGGGTCATCCCTCTCCACCTTGATGAGCCTAATTAGGTTATTCAATGATATCGTTATCATGTCTTGAGTAGTAACTGAAAGATGAGGAGCACAGGATCCAGTCATTTGAGGGTCTACGAAAAGAGCTTAAGGGACAGGCCTTAAAATAAAGAGACATGGTGCCACAGCTACCTACTCCTCTGATTCTGGAACACTCTCGGAACACCAGCCGTGGCCACGGAGCTGTCGTTCATGGTCAGTTCACGCTCGTGAGCCTATCACGGGCCAGTGTCAATAGCTCGTGCTGAGCATGCATAGAATTGTAGTGACGTCTCACAAAAAAGCTTAAATCTGTGGGAGGCTGCCTTGACATGCGCAGTGTCCGTAGTGGTCATTAGGGGTGGATAAATTTATCCAGTGAGCGGCAATCCCCGGTTTCCCGAAGCTGAAGACCAGTGCTTTGTGTTTAAGTGCTTCGAGTGCAAGGCAAAAGCCTGTCTCCGGATAGTGGTAGCATGATGAGAGGTCTTGGTCATGCATGCATTACACTGCTTCCTGCAGCTAGAGACCGGACGAACTCATCTCTAAACCCTAGATACACCCCACACCGATATTTACTTTTTTCTTTCCTTCCTTCCACCTGGTACACCAAAAGAAAGGAGGCGGGAGTGTCACGGAAGCGGGGTAGTTCTAAACTATCTACTTCAGACCGAAGCAGATGATTAATAATTCCATATCTAGCTACCTATCTAACTATACATGTTATCGATAATATCTAGAAGGGAGTCAAACCATGGCCAGAGTGCTCAGCGGCTGTGGACTAGTCACACTTGGGTCTAAAAACCTCTTCCCTAAATGTACGGGTTTTATCGGCTTGATCCAGCGACTAATGCAGGTATTTTTACACTATATCAACTTTCTTGCGTTTCCGATCATTGACCTATAGGCTCGAGCCATATATAATTAGCGGTCTATTAGAAGCTTGTGGACTAAGCTAGATGATTTCTTTAAGGAAGAGGAGACGTAGCGATTACGGTGAAGGATTTTATTTGTGGTAATGCCATGTTGCTATTGTGTTACAGTTTGCGAATCACGAGAGTGGTTTATATATAACGCTTGGAAGTTAACGTTAAGAGATTTGGATGAGTTGATTTTGTCACCTTCGCTGGCCTCTCTATAGAGACCTGGGAAACTCTTGAAATTATTTATTACGATTATTTAATTACATTTTAATCTAGTAACTACGAAAGGATGGGATGAAAGGTCACTAGCATGGCTAAAGGGGCAGGGAAAGAAAGAAAAAGACAAGGAGAAAAGAAACTACAACTTGATTAAACCCCCTAGTTTCTTCGGTCAGCGCCCATGGCTAATGATCTAATGGGAAGGGAGGAGAGGAGAAATATACTGCGTATATAAAAAATTAACGGAATAGATTCCTATAAACCCCTCGGGCAGAACCTAAGGGCTTATGGGGGCCTTTACTCTCTCCGTGGGGAAAGAGGACAAATGGCTGGAGGAGGGGGAAACTAGGGCACCGGTGGTCTCTCTCAGCCCTTCGGACGGCGCCCAAAGACCGATAGAGACCAGTACTCTCCCCTTGCGGAGAGTGCACAAAGGCGTGGTGTTGGCGGGTAGGCGGGGACGGGGAAGTTGGGGCGAATGATCTCTCTCAATCCCTCGGATGGCACCCAGAGACTGATAGAGACCAGTGCTCCCTCCTTAAAGAGAGAGAGCACACAGGCAAAGGGACGTGGAGCGGGGGCGGGGGCGGGAGAAGGGGCAGGAAGGCGAGGACGGGGGAGAAAGGGCAGCGAGGCTGGTCCCTCTCAGTCCCTCGGACAACGCCCAAGGACCAATAGGGGTCTCCACCCCTCTTCACGGAGGAGCAGACGCAACGGCGGGGGGAGGGACGTAGTTCGCCCCTCTTCCTCTCAGTCCTGGGTCCTCCTAAGAGTCGGGGGGGAGCAGAGATCCACTCGGCTCTGGGATCAAGCCCAGCAACCAAGAAGACCTTCGCTCCCTCTCGACTCTGGGGAAGACCCAGGGACTGAGAAGGAGAGGGGAGCAGGCACCGGGGACACAGGGGGCGGAGGGCACTACGGGAAGGCCCCTCTTGGTGTCTGGGTATTACCCCAGCGCCAGGAGGGAGCAACGGATCGTCCCTGCCTAGGGAACAAAGCCCCACAGTACAGGGGAACCTTTGCTCCCTCCTGGGACTGAGACGAAACCCAGAAACCAAGGGTAGGGGGCAGTCCACCCGCCCCCACTTGACCGCCGGGTATTACCCCAGTGCGGAGAAGGGGCGAAAGAGCTTCCAGGCACGGCCCAGGAGAACCTTCGCCCCCTCATGGCACTGGCACAAACCCCAGAAACCAAGAGGAGGGAGGCGGTCTACCCACCTCTTCTGGGCCGCCGGGCATCACCCCAGTGCCAGCAGGAAGCAAGGGGTCTTCCAGGTCTAGGGATAGCACCCAGAGCCCCAGAAGAACCTTCGCTCCCTCCTGGCACCGGGACAAAACCCAGACACCAAAAAAGGAGGGGGGGGGGGGCGGCGGTCTACGACACCCCCTCCTGCCCCCGGCCCTTCCACAGGGCCAGGAGAGGGCAGGAGCCCTTCAACTCTGGGCACATCGGCCCAGAGCCCAGGAAGAGCCTTCACTCCCTCCCAGCCCTGGGGAAAAAACCCAGAGGCCAAGAGGAGGTGGGAGGGGAGGGGAAGAAAGGGGGGAAAGATCTATCAGAAGGCCCTTGGCCAAACAGGGGCCAAGAGAGAGCTGAGCCTGCTCCCTGATGAAGGAATAAAGAATAATGAAGAGAGAGAGTTGGGAGCCAGAAGGTGGGCTTATATAGCGGCCGGAAATGATGCTAAGCCCCATTTTCTTCGCCAACGGGGCCGTAAAAAACATTTTAACTCCTTGGTATTTTTCATGCTTGCAGATGTGTTCGGGCCCACAGAGGCACCCGGTCGCGGTGGGGGAAAACGTGATGATTAAATCAACCAATCGTGGCGGGAAAGGTAGAGAGTCGTCGCGAGTGATATTCTGTGATCCGTGCTATGAACAACAAACCGACGGTGTCCTGTATTACAGCTAGCGGGCAAGGCCGTAGATACGGAGAATTGTTGCAACTATGACCACTGTCTACATAATTATACCGACAGGCGTAGATCACGTAGGGAATTCTCGCGGGTCAATGATAAGAATAGGCACAACAATTTCAACGAGCATACAGTCACATCCTATAAGTATTGAGCGAATCTAAGTCCCTAACAGCGAGAAGCATACCTATATTGAGCTATTCTAAGGTCTATCCAAGTGTGTCCAACCGCACAACCAACCCAACCCAAGCAAAACAAAAAAACAAAACCCCCGAAACACCACCCCTAAGTCTTCTTCTTCAACAGCCCCCTAAAAAAATCAAAACTATTCCCATCGCTCTGCAGCGTCCACACCTTGCCCGTCAGCCTATCGTTCTCATCCACCTCATCCACCCTCAAGAGCCCAAAATCCATCGTGATACCCCTCACCCGTGCCCTCGCCCCCCCCTCCATCTCAAGCCTCACAACTTGGTCCGTATGCAGCCAGGAGCCATAATACCTCTGCTCAAACACGCCAAACCCATGCTCACAGAACCTTGCATACATCTCCTCAAAAACCACCAGTATCCGAGCCAGCAGTTTCTCCTGCTCAAATTCTGCTAGTGGAGGCAGACCCTTTGCAACCCGTTGGGTGTTAAGGGAGGCCAAGATGAGGTTGAGCGAAGTTGTGGGCGCGGCATTGGTAGTATTCAGGCCGACGCCCACGACGAGGAGGAACTGTCCGTCGGCGTAGCTACAGTTTACGAGGATTCCGCCAATCTTCACGAATACGGTCGGGTTGGCGGGGGAGGCGGCGTAGATGTCGTTTGGCCACTTAAGGCGCACGGGCATAGCGTCGTAGCCGTCGTCGCCGTTGCCATTGCCATAGGACTTGACGGCCTCGACGACGGCGAGGGCGACAAGGTATTGGATAAAGACCACGGGCGCGGTGGCGCCGAGATGGGCGGCGTGGCGGACGACGGTGGACCAGACGAGGGCTCCGAGGGGGGTGACCCATACGTTTGAGCCGCGGCCGCGGCCCGAGACCTGGATTGTTGCGACGGCGGTGAGGCCCGTCGGGAGGCGCTGGAGGAGGGCGAAGTTCTTGTCGAGGATGGTGTTGGTGCTTGTGATGACGTTTGCGTAGAGGAGGAATGAGCCGAAGTGGGAGGGGTGTGAGGAGGAGAGCGTGCGCTGGTGGGAGAGCGCTGTGTAGAAGGTTTTGTGCGAGAAGTGGGGAGTCTCGGAGGGGGGTGGGGGCCGGTACGTGTGTGTTTTGATGTGCTTTTCGAGGGCGTTGTGGTCGATGATGCCGGTGTTTTCGGTGGGGCTTTTGCCGTTGGATTTGGCTGGTAGTGCGCCGGAAAGTGAGGTCAATGATAGTGTGTCCTCTTTGTAATCCGAGATAGTAAAAGTGTCGTTTTCGCCAATGATCTTGCGAGTGTCATCTTCCGTAGCAGTAGTAATGTCCTTAAGACGCTCAACCAGGTAGCTCACATCGGCGGGATATATAGAGCTCAGATGTATATCTGACAGCGCCGGCACTTCCTTGCTATCCTCTGCGATATGAAGCCCCAGCTTCACAAGACAAGCCTTCAAGAAAGCGACTCTCTTCGCATCATCTTCCAGGAGGGCATCCACAAGTCCGGTATACCCTTCCGGGCCCGCATTCCTATCTAGATTGACACCGGCAAACCTATTCCCACCCGTCAGCATCACCACCACTCACTCACACGCAGGGTCAATGATCGCAATACATACTCCGGATGCGGCCCCGTGAGCACCGCGCCCCCCTTCCCCACACTGCAATACACGACCGCGGCGTCTCCCCCACCAACATTCAGCTTCTCCTTGTACCTCGCCAGGACCTGCACACCCTCGGTTTTATCCGCGTCTACAAAGAGGCCACCCCCATTATAGTAGCACCTGAAGCCCTCCAGAGCCCCCTCCAGTACGCCCTTCTCCACACTCACCTCCGGCGCCCTAGCGCCCCTCTCACTACCATACTCGAACCCGCCAAACGCCGCGCCTCTACACACGCCCTTAAAGAACTTCAGCTCTCTCGGGCCCACAACCTCCAGCTCCTTATCACCGACCTCGAACTCCACCCGGCCGCACCCGTAATACCCACCCGCGCAGAAGCCCAGATATGCGCCGCCGCCCCATACATACTGGCTGATGAGCCTGTTCCCGTCGCCGTTGAGCGCGCGACAGTAGCCGAGGTCGGCGCCGCCGGGGAGGACTAGCAGCGCGCAGGTGGGCGACCACGGCTCGGTGAGGAGCGTCTGCGCGGTGATGGGGTTAACAGCAAAGTGCGGGGAGAGCAGGCGGCGGAGGGTATAGATTGTGTGGCGGACGGATTCGACGGTGGTGCCGGTGCCTGGGGGGGATGTTAGTGGGTGCGGAGGGAGGGGGGGAGGGGAGAAGTACCGGTGTAGACGAGGACGTTCATGCGCGTCATGGTTGGTGGGGTGATGTGGGGTGGAGAGAGGTAGGGATGCAACGGTACGGAGGAGAGACTCTTCTTCTTCCTCTTCTGCTTTTGCTTCTGGAGAGATATCCCACCACCTACGGCGACCAGACAACAGGGCCGAGCAACAGTGAACTTGATTGCAATGTCGAGTAACAAGACCCCCGTTCCGGACAAGACACCAGCGCAGGTACAGGAAGACGATGAGCCGGATGCCTGGTAAGTGAGATGTGATTATGTTTATGTAGTTGAGGTTGAAATGCGGTTACTAATTATATATATGTGCACATCCAGGGACCAGAGAATCAACGACACTGGCTGTTCAGGTATATCTAAACTTCTCTCTTGAACATAAAGATATATGGTTCAGAGTTTAATTCGATATGGTATCGCAGCGGAAAACACTAGGTTGAACGACTGCTACTTTGAGAAGAAGGACTGGCGGCTGTGTAAATCCGAGGTTTGTCCCTCGTAAAAAGCGAAAAAGGCGTGATCGTAGGTAATTACTGATTAGCGAGAAACCAAATAGATGGAGGCGTTTAAAGCTTGCTGGAAGGCCAAAGGGAATGCCAACAGGACTGAATCCCGCGACAAGTAAATTAGAGCTTTGAAGAGGATGCAATGTCTGTTGATAGCTGTAAAGTAGATGCTGCGAGAGCTTAGATGCTGTGTTTCTGGGGGCCTCAATTCCAACTTAGATCTTAGAGTTTACTCTAGTTCCTCAATCTGTTTCCCGCCAATTGCATGTTGTCAACTTTAGCTAGCCATCGCTTTACTCAGGGCCCAATTCCGTCATACATCGCTTCTCAAAGCTAGCCACACCGAATAGTACGTGGAATCTGATGTGTGTGTCTCTGTGGAGCCCTACACGGATGTGTCTGTAGCTATATGTGACTTGATGGAATCACATATACCCACCGAATGTTTCCATCTCACAGCAGCCCAATTGCCCAAGAAGGAAGATGGCCGCTGAAACATGCAGCTCACAGCACCTCACTCGAGCACGCGCCACAGCACTCACATATACCTGTGGCTGGTGGCACCTCGCTCAGGGGCACGCACACCACCGATCAACAGCCTCAGTTCCGTCGGCTAAACTTTTCTCGTATCGTTAAGCCCACGTCGCTCCCCCGAGAAACACCAAGCTCTCACCTCACCATCCCTCCCTCACTCACCACCAAAAACCCTCAATTGCCCATCCTCCCCTCCCCCGAAAAAAAAAAAAAAAAAACCACCCATCAAACATGTCCGCCCCCAAGAAGCAATCTCTCCACAACGTGCTCGTCGTCGGCGGCTGCGGCTTCCTCGGCCACCACGTCGTCAAGCTCCTGCTCGAGCAGCACCCCGAATGCAACGTCTCCGTGCTCGACCTGCACACAAAGTTCAACAACTTCCCCAAGGTCACCTACTACAGCGGCGACATCACCTCGCGCGAGCAGGTCGACGACATCCTCACAAAGAGCAAGCCGGAGGTTGTCATTGACACCGTGTCCCCTATCTTTGGCCTGGGCAAGGACATCTACTTCAAGGTCAATGTCGACGGCACCAGGACGCTCCTGGAGGCCTCCACGGATAAGGGCGTGAGGGCGTTTGTGTATACGAGCTCGGCCAGTGTGGTGTTTGATGGCGTGAGCGATATGAGGAATGTTAACGAGTCGGCGCCGATACCGAAGATACCCATGGATGCGTATAATGAGACTAAGGTATTTCTTTCTTCCTTCGCGCTATTGGGTGAACTGCGAATAAAAAAAAAAACTAATCGTATATGTGTCCCCCCCAGGCCATTGGCGAGAAAATGGTGATTGACGCCAACCGAAAGAGGGGAATGCTCACAATCTCGCTCAGATTATCCGGTCTCTTCGGGTAAGCTTTCTTCTGGCCCCCACTCGATTCTTTTTGTGTTTCAATATTTTTTTCTTTTTCTAACAATCACTCTCCCACACAGACCCGGCGACCGACAAGCCCTCCCCGGAATGTTCACCGCTCTCGAGCGCGGCCAGACAAAGTTCCAGCTCGGCGACAACAGCAACATGGCCGACTTTACCTACATTGTCAACGCCGCCTACGCGCACGTTCTTGCGGCCGAAAAGCTCCTCTCCATGCCCGTGGACCAAGAAAAGACCACCAACACAGTCGACGGCGAGGCATTCTTCATCACCAACGGTGAGCCCGTTCCCTTCTGGGATTTCGTCCGTGCAGTGTGGGCCGCAAAGGGACACGTGGCGCCATATACCATCGTGATTCCCAAGTCGATTTCCTCATTTGCCGGTGCGGCCAGCGAGCTTGTAGGCTGGTTGACGGGCAAGGAACCCAACTTGACAAGACAGAAGGTGAAGCTTAGCACCTGCCAGAGGTACTTTGACATCAGGAAGGCGACGACACTGTTGGGGTACAAGCCTCTGGTGTCGCTGTCACAGGGTGTCTTGGACGGTGTGGCGTGGTTTGTGGAGGAGGAGAAAAAGCAAGCTGAGAAGAAGGGACAATAGTCTTGACGCTTTCTATTTATTTTATTATCATTATTTTATTTAGTACCATTTTTTTTTCCCACTCTGTTATAGTTACGTATACTAGTAATGGCGCGATGTTTTGTTTTATGTTTTTGTTGTTGCGATGTACGCCCCCACTTCTTGTTAGTATCTGATGTTGTAAACCCTAGCTGTGGTAGCCGTGTACGTTCAAAATTACGGTGGTGGTGGTAGAAGGCAGTAATAAAGACTTGAGAAGGACATGTTCACGGGAGATCACTCGCTCGGGTTGCGCCGCACGTGGCGATGCACCCTTTGTTTGCTATTTGCTTGTTTACCAGGCACCCTGTATACTGGCTGTCCCTGCTCTGTATGTATCGCCCCCTACCACCGAGCAAGATGAGTCTTCTTGCCCAGATAATACAATACGAGAGTTCCCATGCACGGCCAATCACTCGCGCCCGCCCCCCACGTGATCCCTGCCAATAGCATGTTTCACGTCCGCTCTGAAACAAGGAAGGAGTGCAATCCATCCCTTGTATATAGCTAGACACATAGAGCAGGTAGATAGACAAAATATAGATGCAGTAGTATGTTTACGCCCCCGTCCCCACATCAGGGGCACCGTCATCATCGTCATCCTGCTTCTTCTGCTCCTCTCAGCTTCCCACGCACCTAGCTAGCTTACGCACTAGTTCCTGTGTGTGCCGTGCCGGACGACGAACAAACACACAGACAAACACACAAAGAACAAACTCCCAAACCAAACCAAGCCTCCAGGCACAAACAAACACAAAATACCAAACCACCATGGACAGACGCAGCAGAGCCCGCGCCCGCGTCAGCGCCGGCATGTCCACCACCAGCGCAGCATCATCATCACCCGCAGGATCAAGATCAGGATCAGGCTCAGCACGAAAGCGCCCAGCACCCCCCACATCAGAGCTCTCGAGCGCCAAAAAGCGCAAACTCCCCACCACCACCACCACCACCTCCTCCTCTTCTTCCTCCGCAGCTGCAACACCGGCTTCAAAGCGCCAGTCGACTGCCACCAAACCGTCCACCACTGCAGCGCCAGAAAGCGGCCAGGTCCGCCTACACATCGTGTACAACTTCGGGCACGTGACGACGCACGATGTGCCTTTGCGCACGCGGCTGACGGAGCTGTTTAAGCTCCACCATGCGGCGGGGGGGCGTGCGCCGGGGCGCGGGGTGGTGTTGAAGCAGACGGGGGGTGAGGTTGTGGTCGGTGGCGGGCGGTATTGGGTTGTTGGGGACAGGGGGGAGAGGAAGACGGTGGGGTGGGAGTGGGGGAGGTTTAATGAGGGGTTGAGGGTTGGTGATGCTGGGTGGGGGTTGGTCGGGGGGGTGGGGTGGGTGGCGTGTGTTAGGGTTGTGGGGAGGGGGAAGGGGAAGGGTGGGGAGGAGAGTGAAGAGGAGGAGGATGAAGAGGATGAAAAGGAGGATGAGGAAGATGAAGAGGAGAAGGAGAATGGGGAGGGGGAGGACGAAGAGGAAAAGGAGGACGGGGAGGACGAACAAACCGATGAGACCGGCGAAAATGGCGACGAGGAGGAGGAGGAGGATAATGAGGATGAAGAGGCGGAGTCGGATGATAGCGACGAGTTTGACGACGACGAATAGCTGGTTGGTATCAAACCAGCTTAAAAAAAAGTCCTTTGTTGACGAAAGGGTAATGTCTGCCTGTATATTAGTTAAAAGCAGTGAACAGTCCTCAGTGGGTTCATCGAGAAACACCCCTTCTAAAATAAATATTAGTATTATTATCTGAATATCACGGGATTCTGTATTTGTGGTCTTAGAGTGAAGTCTAGTAGGTAGTGATTCTTGGTGATAGCTCCCATTGAGTTTCGGTGTTTGATCCTTTGGATCATAGGTAATCACTCGGAGGATTCAACCAATCAGTTGTTGGTTTTGAGTAAAGTCTGTCTCATATGCATGTAAAAAGTAGCAAGGATATTCCTTTAGTGTTAACACTCTGATTAAAAGCTATAGCAGGAAGAAAATGTGTTCTAGAAACACATTCTTTGCTCTGTGCCGCTATTTGTATGTGCTGCCCTTTAGTTTTGGCAATGACAATGTGTACATGCCGATATTATTTATTATACTTATGTGTAGATAAATATAATCAACACATTCTAGGCGAGAAACTATCCGCTAAGATATGATGCTAATAGAGTATTAGCTTATGGATACAACGAAAAAATGGAAGTGAGTAATGTGATAATTTACCAACCCCCACACCTGAGTATCTATAGATACTCAAGACCCTTTAACGTATATGTTATCGGGCGCCCCAGCATCATACCTCGACTTCCAATTGCACTTGAAAGTCTCCGCGCCAACATTCTGCGCTACGACTCCCCCGCAATGGTCCGGCTGCTTCCACTCACTAAAACACACACATTATCATTAGCCCACTATCAACTATCAACACCAGACCAAAGAATCAGAACACTCACTGATCTAGCACCAGAGTCGAATCCCTCGTGTCCATCTCCAGAGTGACATACTCCGCCGGCTCACATCCCTTGACATGCTGCACCCACACCACACTGGCCACGCCCTTTCCCCCCGCCGGGCAGTTCAGATCCTTAAAGTCCAGCGCAAAGCTCCCCAGCTTCGCACTATACTTCTTCCGCTCCCTCTCATACCGCACCATCAGATCAAAATTATTATAATCCGTGCACTGCGGATGCTTATTGACCACCCCCGGCGCTCCCACAATCTTCCTCGCAAACACCAGCCACGACCCCGTCTGCAGCTCAAACCCCGAATCATCCGTACTCACCGGCACCTCCGGCACCGTCGTACTAACTGGCGGCGCCACCGATGTCGGCTTCTCCACAAACGCCGTGACGGTAGGCGTGTTATCCCGGTTCTTCCGCAGCGTGAAATACACCGCCGGCGCAATCGTCGCAACAAGAACACACACCACCGCAATCGGCACCACAATCAGGAACATCTTCCTCATGCGCCACTTCGCCGCCGCCCGGCTCTCCGCAACCTTCATGCGCGGCGCTAGCGTCGGCTGCCGCCCCGCCTTCTCACCAACCGTCAGCGGGTGCTTGGCATAGTCGCGCAGATCAAACTTCTCATCCTCGATAACAGGCACCGCTGCCTCTGCGGCTGCCGCGGCTTCGGCCGCCTCGGCCGCCTCCTGCTCGCGCTTCACGGAGGCAATGGTGGCTGCGACGGCGGCGGCGAGTTGTTTTTCGCGGCGGGCGGCCACGGCGGCTTCGTGCTCGGCGCGGCGGAGGGCGGCGGCATGGGCGGCTTCTTGTTCGTGCTGGATGAGGGTTGATTCGGAGGCTTTGTAGGCTCTGTAGGCAGTCTCTTTGGCTGCCTGTTCTTTCTCTGCGCGTTCTTGTTCTTTTTCTGCTTGAGTTTTGGGTTTGGGTGGTGGTGGCTGCTCGCTGTAGGCTGTGGCTGCGAGGGTTTCGGGCTCTTCGCCGACGAGGGTTGTGGAGCCGTGGGAGGAGAGCTGCGAGGGGTGCGAGGAGTATGAGGACTGGGAGGTGACTTGGAGGAGGCGGGGCTGGGAGATGGAGGCGGCGTCTTCGGAGTCGGCGATGGTGGGGGCGGCGAGGGCGGCGGAGGAGGAGGCCCGTTCTTTGCCTTTCTGGAGAGGAGTTAGTGGGTAGGCCTTAGTGGGGGTTTTGGGGGAGAGAAGTGGGTGCTTACTCTTGACCTGTGAGCTCCTGTAGATCCCGGGGGATTCGCCATTGTGGGGGGTGGGGGGAATAGATGGGATTGAGCGTCGAGTCGGATTTGGTGTCCGGAGTGGTTGGGATGAGATGGAATCGATGGTGGTTAGAAATTGATGTTGGAGGTGATTTGAGGGCTGTGCATCAATTTTTTAGCCAGTGGGGCACGGCACATGAGCTACATCCAATTTCTTGCCGTGTATTAACACAGAGGCAGGAAGAATGTTTACTGGCGTATCCAATCTAATAGGTCATCATATTACTATTTTTTTTCCCCAGCACGGAGAAATCTAGAGGCTTGATTATATCGGATCTGATATTTCTGGACTCTCAGGACAGGTTGTGGCACATGTAATGATGTCTAACTCTACTTGGATTTAGGGATATATTGGAGCAGGATTATCGCTAGCTAGGGATTATTAAGTCTATTACTAGACCTGAAAGACGCCACAGCCCACCCCCCTTCCAATGACTCCGGCGTATTTGTATTTTCACGGGAAATTACAATCTGCGGGGTCATCACCTTCACATCGTTCTCTTGAATTTCCGCGCCAAGCCCCCATTAGCAGTGAAAATTTTCTCTTATGCGGATTGCAGACCGATGAAGTGTCTCCCCTTCTTTGCTCTTGAGTTCGGCGCGCAAATACGGCACTCAATATAGGATGGATGGATGTAAGCTGGGTTAATCCAATCATAGACTATCACTCGTCACTTGAAGCCGGCTTGGTCAGTCCACACGCCGACCCCCCATCTAGGTACGTACGTTGGTGGCGTCGGCGACCGATTGTTTAGACTTAGACGTCTTCATATGTAAAGGGTATGATAATTATCTACTATGATATAAAAGAACATGACTGGAAAACGCCCCGCTAAACCCTAACCCTGGTCATTGAGTGAATAGAGCCTAACGACGAGGTCATGGGGGGTTTTTTTTTTGTTTGTTTGTTTAACCCATTACGAGGTCATGGGGGAATTAAAGGGCTGAGACTGACATGTACGTAATGAGTAAGGGTCATTGCAAGAGAAGCTGAGATTTAAGATGGTCTAGGCTGCGACTACATGTAGCAGAGCGGTCGATACCACACTTAACCCATAACGTCGAGAAGGGAGGACAGAATAAGCTCCAAAAGATTAGTAGCAAGAAACTTCGAAAGGGATCCCAGATGGTACGTACACGTGGCTATGTGACTGACAATAAAAGAAACAAAAAGTACTTTTATGCATGGGGCGAGTTGATCTAACAAGGAACAAAAGGATCCTGTAGAGCATTTTTCACGACTGTCAATTAATGCCACTCGGCGCTTCTCCATGACGAGCCGTCTACCCTAGGCAAACCCACCCACACGATTTTCAGTAATACTTGAGAGAGTGATTGGTGGTCAGGCGAGCTAGCCAGGACCCTAACCATATCGGTCTACCACGTCTTTGAGGACGTAAGCATTTCCGCCATCAACACCTCTATCGCCATCATCACATTCTGGCATCCCTGCTCGTGGCAAAGCTACATGTGGTTTCTTTATGGGTCGCAAAATATTTCTAATTAGATTGCCCTCAAAGGTTTTCGGATCATGAAGTTTTTATTCTTGGATGAGTTAACCAACGAGCCTGGCTGGTATTCAATCGGAGCGCCAAAATCATGAGTACTCATCACAAGAGAGGAAGAGTAAACCGCTGCCAAAGTATAAAAGTCTGTCAAGGAGTAGTAACCGCCCGGCGCCCGTATATACGGAGTTCAAGTTGTATTGTCTACAGACAGCGCACAATTATTTCTTGGCGCACGAGTGATCGCATATGACGCGATAAAACTACGCTGCCCATGATGTGTGGAAATCTAGCTTGATGTATTAGTTTGGCCATGGAATAGGAAGATGTGGATTGAGCAGCAAAATAGGTTGTCCCTTTAGGATGAATAACCTAACATGGCCCTACCAGATTGGGGAGAAGCACGTGTACTGCTTATTCAAAAAGGAAAATCAAAAGCTCCATTTAACTCCTGCGGGGTGTAGGTTAGTAATCCTTCCTAAATGTTTTTCTAGGAATTGAGATACTGTAGTAGTAATACCTGTTGGTTACATGTATCTAACCCATGTCTCCGGAGTTTTGGCCAAGCTTCAGTTCTAAGCTAGCTTGGCGATTTCTGATAAGGGATAACCCTCAGTTGGAAATCCTTCGCAACCCACCCACAGGGCATTCACCAAAATACTACTTGTTGAGGTATTCTGGATCTTTGCATAAAATAAGGTTTGCTTGCCCTATCTGGAGTGAAAGCCCTACCCACACAGCGAAACTAGAGTCTCTTGGAAGATGAGCCACACATAACTCCCACAAAACCCCGCGTCCCCAAACCACTTTCACTCCACCATCTTTCTTTCTTCTATATCGTCGACTAACTGTACAGCTGTACCCCCTCATCATAATGGGAGAAAAATTGCATCTTTTGACCCCGACCCCCTCTTCCCTAGCATTGGGTATTACAATATCCTAACTTCCAATAATGGAACCATAGGTTGGGCTTCAACCACTTTTTTCTCGCCCTGTGAGATCTTGGTGATGGCTTGGGTAATATCGAAGGTCTAACAGGGGCAGAAATTGTGTCTGTTGTAGCAACAAATCATTAACACTTGCTTATCTGAGTTTTTAGCAACGCACGGTATTCCAAACCCGGCCCCTCGGTAGTTAAACAGGTCTGGCCGTGTTTTACCTCAGGTCTGCGTTTGGGCTTTGGTGTGGTAACATCAAATAAGCGGTAGCTACAAGTACCTGCCACTGTGTTCAAATAACATGCACTAGGAACAGCCCTGGAGACCTGGTAAAACGGTAGTCGTGATCAGCAAAAGAAGGCACAAACCAAGACAATTTGCCAACTCTAGACAGACACAAAATGTACCTTTGGCTGAGACAGATCAATCTCTCTTAGAGGGCCAAAATACTCCTGTGGCGAGAGAATACATACTTTGCTCACTGGTAATCAGTATTTTCCTTTCGACAAAGAACCCAATAAAACCAGACAAATCATTTGAAAAGCCATGTAAACCCGAGCACCTATAGTCTACAACCCGGGTATCAAGGGGCGGTGCTTGAGATGACAAACTAATCTTAGCTCATGGAGGAGACTAAACTACCAAAAGAGACTTCAATTCTCCGAGACGGATCGATTCCATGCATGCATTTAGTTGCTGTTTCTTCTGTCTGAGGGACGAAGCAAAACAGATACGGCTTACGCAGAAGCCACAATGATGCTATCCTATAAAAAGATATCTATCGCTCAACTAAACTTTTCTTATTCCTGAATGGCCACAACACAGAAATGTGGAATCCTCCCCATCTGGTAATCACAGGCCATCACTCACACCGGCTTGGCACTAAGAACCTCGTCATAGAGTCTCCCGTGGACATACTCACATATTATCCTGTCCTGTTACTGGAATCTGATTATTCAACTATCACCAAAGGTTGATTGAAGCTTTGGGATAAATTCGAGCCCTCTTATACTCTTTGAGGGAAAATGGCTTATTTTACACATATCTCCACCATAATGAGCGGGCCTAATACTCTTCACGTGGTTTATATATCGAAACTTTTTTCTACCTCAGTCCAAACTTCAAGGAGTAAACATGATATAAGAAGACAATAATACTTCTAATTGAGCTCGGACATTCAGACTACATGATTGGGGAATACACTCACCTAATATAACCACTCGAATTCCGCCGTATGGACACCCGCAAAAGAATAAAGAATTGATATGAAAGTAAAACAATACAAAAAGCGGATAACAGAAACGGAAAGAACCCCCCACCTCTATTATCATCTATTTACCTTCCTGGTAGTTAAAACAAAATAAAAAGCATTTAAGCCTACACAGAACAAGTCAGTATATTTCCCTACCACTATACACGAAATCAGCAAACTTACCCAAGCACCAATCAACGCCATACCCATTCCGCCCGCAGCAACCGCGCCGCAGGCTTGTATCCGTCTCTTTCCCGACAAGATCACATAAGACTCGTCACTCAAAAAATCTTCTGCCAAAAGTTCCACCAACCCAGCAAATAGCAGCAAGCCAGAGGAGATCGCATTCATGACGCCCACCATCAGTAGCCCAGTCTGTGAAGCCGGATCGTAGAGCTTGCGGGTTGCAAGACCGATGGCTTGACCAATGGGTGTGGTGGTACCGTACGCAAGACACATGAGCCATGGCTTTGGCGAGTTCTTTGGGAACACGGAAAGGGAGGCAATGCGACTGCCGAGCGCGAGACCTTCGAACGTCTGGTGGAATGCGATTGCAATAAGGAGGACTATGAAGTTAGACCCTGTGGCAACCGAGAGCGCCATTCCTATCCCACAGCCAAGTTAGTATTATGAACTTCGCTCCACTAATGATTTCCGTCGTTTCGTTTATGTTGAGCAACCTACCAATAAAAACACTATGAAACAAAATTCCAGCCTCTAGCAACATAACCTGCAGCAAATTCTTCTGTTGCTGTTGAGCTTCCGTCAATCTACTTCCTATTCTTTGCGGCCTGATGCTAGTGGCACTCATACTCCTGGGCCGTCTGACTACAGCACCCCGCGCCGGCCCTCCAGTCAGTGCCCTTGTCTCCTGGTTTACGCCATCATCACTGTCGCTATCCTCTACATCTTCCTCTGATCCTTCCGCCATTGTAGGTGTCGGTAGAAGACTATCCAAGTCCAAACTATCTCTCTCAATCTTCTGTAGCTGTTTACCAATGCTCGCGCTGCGCCTATGTCTAGTCGGCCTTGTTGGCATCATCCTGATGACGCTGCCGTCCGCATCCTCTTCATGAATCGTCGGGATAACTGCAGAGTTTGAGCGCGAGTGACCTGGTGTGGTACCACCACCGGTGAGTGGGGCCGCGGAATGACATCCACCCATGGACCCGCCGTTCATGGTGCTGAAGACCATCTCAACGGTGACAACGACAAAGACAGAGATCATGGCGATGAGGCCGGCCATGGCGGGGTAGGACTTGTTCCAGAATTCGGGGAGACATGGGTCGGTGAGGGATGTGAACGCTGTGGGGAGGAGGTGGACGAATGCGGTTGCTATCAGAACGCCGGTACCGAAGCTATGGAAGTGTTAGGAGTGGCCGCGCGTGAGCTGGAAGAGAGTGGGTAATTACTGCCGTGACAAGAATCTGGAGTAACCGTAAGTGGTCTGGCACGACTGAAGCTACAATGAAGGGAGGCGACTCACAGGAAATGTTGGGGGACCCGGACTGCCGGGAACTTCTTGACGATGAGTGGAAAGGAGCATGCTAAATGTTGTCAGCACCCCCGAAATGCCAAAAGCTCTCTCGGAACTCTAGTATGACGTAGAGAAAAGAACACCAACATAATATACTCTGAAACAGTATGATAAACAGCGCCAACACATGTAACGGAAGATTATAGGCTCCGTCAGACTTTCCACCGCAGACCTAACGCAAAAAATCGCAATCAATATCGCAACCTTATACCGGGAACAAGAGGATTAAAGCTTGTTCAACATACGAGTGAGGCTCTGGTTGTAAGCTCTGGCGCAAGATAAGGTGGGTTCTGGTTGAAACCTGCCAATGCGCTCCAGTTAGGCGGGACTCAGTCTGTTTCCGGATTCCGGAATGAAACGTTACCTTCGAATCCCGACGGATTCGTGTCGCGAGTCGGGCAGTTCATCGCAGAGGATGTCTGGGAGAGTGTATGGGTTGATCTTGAGCGCTCTCGGCGACGTGCGTGTGTGTGGTGTGCGTGTTTAGCTATGTATGTAGCAGTATCGAAGAATACCCGTACGAAGCGGTGTAGCAGATAGGAGAAGATAGGAAGAAGAAGCGCGAGAAGAACACAAATCAATAACGACGTAACGGTTCAATAAATGATATATGTATGTACGTATGCTGAGCTTCGACCTGCGAGTTACGGATACAGCTACTCATGTACGAACGAACGAACGAGAACGAGATGTCAGAAAGAAAGAAGACGAATTCGCCGAAGAAACAGCAGCAGACCCCCACAGCACAATGATAACCTATCAACAACAACACTCGTAGATGTAGATATGCACGTATTGTATTGAATTGTCTGTCTTGTATGTAGCTGCAGCACTGGCCAGAGAAGAGAATTAAAGGAAAAGAACATTCAAGGAGAAACGATGTCAGCTCCTCCAATTCGTGCCGAGGACCGATCACTTTCCATTCCTAGTCTCACCTCTACACCAAAAAGGGGAATATGTAGTGCCGCCAGATGAGCCAACCCTTGCCCTGTGGGTGGCTTCCCTCACGATTCCTAATGGAGAATATGCGCCGCCGTTAGGCGTTAAAGCTTCAGAGCCAAGAGTCCCAAGCCAGCTTCCCGACAAGGGGTACGTCTCCCGGGCCCAAGAAGTTGAATTGCGTTAGGGATTGGGGGATTTGAGGCTAGAGTGCAAGCAGATAATTGTAAATGATGCTTGGGGGGGTGCTCACTTAAGAACCCGGGCCAAAGACGTCCGACAACGTCCCCCTCTACTTACTCTAAATACCTAGCCTTTCTGCTTAATTGTTCTCTTTGGATCTTACCCTCTTTTTCTTCTAGTCTTTCTTTGAGGTTAACTTGTTTCCCCACACTCTCTTGAATCATATTACGTTGTCGACATGACTTCTTCTTCTGACCAAAATACTCGGCTCTTGCCGATTTCCTCTTCTGCTGCTTCTTCGAGCTCTTCCCAGGCAACCAAAAACGCATCCGATGCCCAGCAACCGCAGGACTCGGTGCGAGCGAAATATGCATGGCTCACAATATACTTTGCCCTCAACCTAGCGTTGACGCTTTACAATAAGGCTGTCATGGGAAAGGTGCAGTACTGATTTTCCTGCTCCCCTGTTATATTGTTGGATCCACCCAACAACCGGAAATGATCAACTGTCAGGAACTTTTTTAATAGTAGTAGTAACAATAATAACTAACAACTAAATTATTAGTTTCCGTTCCCATACTTGTTAACGGGAATCCATGCTCTCTGTGGTACCATCGGGTGTACGATATTTTATATGCGAGGGTCATTCCAGTTGACGCAGCTCACTGACCAGGAGAACTTGGTGATGCTTTTGTTCTCGATACTGTATACGATTAATATCGCTATCAGTAATGTCTCATTGTATGTCTCATTGTCTCTTTTTTCCGTCTTACTTGTTCTGCCCTGGAGGTATTTCTGTCAAATGCTATGGCAGAAATCAATCATATATCGGGCAATGATATCTTGAGCATGATACTATTCTTTCTACTTTAAGCCTAAGAATATTATTACTTGAACAAAAAAACATTATAAGAACTCATACTAACCGTTCCCTAGAAATCTCGTAACAATTCCCTTCCACCAGATCGTCCGGGCCACCACCCCCTTCTTCACCGTCATTATCTACGCCGTCTTCTTCTCCAAGACCTACTCCCGCCTCACCTACATCTCCCTAATCCCCGTCGTTCTCGGTGTCGCTCTCGCCACCTTTGGTGACTATTACTTTACCCCTCTCGGCTTCATCCTCACCCTCCTCGGTGCCTTCCTCGCCGCGCTCAAGACCGTCGTCACAAACCGCATCCAGACATCTGGCCTGCGTCTCTCCCCACTCGAGCTCCTTTTCCGCATGAGCCCCCTGGCTCTCGTCCAGACCCTCATCTACGCATACTGCACTGGGGAGATTGAGCGCTTGGAGGTGTATGCGGGCGAGCATATGGGTAGCAGAGATATTCTTATTCTGGCGGTCAATGGCGCGATTGCGTTTGCGCTCAATGTGATCAGTTTCACGGCAAACAAGAAGACGGGCGCTCTGACAATGACGGTCGCGGCGAATGTCAAGCAGATACTGACCATTGTGTTGAGTATCATGTTTTGGGGGCTTGCGGTCAGCTGGTTGAATGTGTCGGGGATCTGCTTGACGTTGGCGGGAGGTGCGTGGTATGCGAAGGTGGAGTTGGAGGCGAAGCAGACGAGGAGTGCGGCGCCGGCGTTGGAGCCTTTGAGGGAGGTTAAGGCTGGGTAGATGGAATCTTTCTTTTGGGTACTTTTTTCATGGGACGGTCATAGGGTGCTAGGGCATATATCTGCCTTAGTTTGTATAATTATTAGGGCTAAATTGTAGTTATTAAAATCATTTTTAACTCGTTTATATTCTGGTTCCATAAGTATGGGGAAATCTGATAGTGATTTGTACTGTTTATATCTACGTCTAGTCACGAGCCAAAACTACAGCTACTAGATATTATCAATTTCACTGGAGAAACCAACAACAAAGACAGAATGCTCAGCGATGGAACGGATTTCCGGTAGGGTATCGGTCCAAAACACTTTTTGATAGCTGTATTTTATAAGTTCCGAGCAGCCCAACCAGCCTAATTGGCCTGACCCGTGCAGCATTCTTTATACGTAGCAGCCCTTTCCTATCCCATGGCAATTTCGTCCTAATATATTATCCGCGTATCGTTCCAGTTCATTTCTTATAGGTTTTAGTTTATTCTTTCGAGTGCCTATAAACAAAAGCAATGTCAGTCTGGCCGTACTACAGGAACAATTGGGATTAGGAGTGGGCTCAGAACGTACCTCCAACATGACAACTGAGTTTCCCCTTATCACGACTGTGCCGATGCGAACCTTCTCACCGCCATCCTTCTCCTCGACAGCATCGTCAAGAACGATGTTTAGAAAGACCTAGATTACCCCTCGTTAGCATTCCGTCCAGACCAAGCTGTACCCACAGAGTTCCGTGGCACAGCTAACGAAGAGGTAGCAGAAAAGGAAGCTACAGAGGGAGAGCTACATCGTATCCTCTAAGCACGCCAATGACCTTGCGGCTGCCATTGAGCTGCACGAAAAGACGCTTATCGAGGTACTGCCAACCAGTTAGCGACTGCCATTAGGACCAGAGGGTTCTCTCCTACCTTCTTGAGTTCTGGCTGAGCTTGTGGCATCTTTGAGTTTGGTGTATAGAGAATGACGGACGTGAGTGGGGGGTGAGGTGTTGGAGGGGAATGGAAGCCTGAGATTAACGTGTTGGAGGCTTGAGACGTTGTCAGTCGAGTCTTGGCGTTGGAAGCGCGTGTATGCGGCTAACTGAACCAGGGTCTCCCGACGTCACTAGCTCGAAGGAACTGGCCGTCGTCGCGACTTCCTGGGCGGTGTTTGGTAACCAGATCGGAGGAGCTGACCTCAAGTCTTTGCATATTCACTACTTTAACTTAACAACACTCCAATCATGAGGTCCTCATTCGCGTCGCGCCGCCCGAAAGCTAGGAAAATTGAGGCAGATGAGAATGAGGAGGACGAAGACAATTCTTTAGAGAAGCCTACAGAAGGTATCTGCCTCTCCCGCCTAACCCTAGGCCTTAAACAGGTAGTTCATAGCTAATTTCTCACTCTACAGCTCCCCGTCCAAAAATTACAAAAAAGAAAAAAGCAACCCTACGCCTCTCTTTCGGCGGACCTGACGCCGAAGCTGCCTCCTCCGATACCGCCGACTCAGAAACCCCAGCATTCGTGCCCAAAAAGTCTGCCCTGAGCCGGAAAGCTATTGAGCGTAATGCAGCGCGCAAATCTGGGCTCGCGGCTGGCGTTGTAGGGATAGACCAGCTCAACGCCACAGCGACAGAAAGGCCAAGCTACTCGAAGGAATATCTCGAAGAGCTAAAGAGCAGCACCCCAACAGCACCTATACCTGGGCCGGAAGAAGAAGAACAGGAGAGCGGGGACTATGATATGATCATGGACGATGATGTGATGGCGGTCGTGGAGAAGGGAAATCAGAACCAGAGCGTCGTCACCAGATACACCGACGTCGCCCCCGCAGGAACAACAGGTATTCTGGACGAAGGGCTTGTCCGAGTTCTCAAAGCGCGGCGGGCCGAGAAATCGACACGAACAAAGGCGGGCGACTTCATCTCGCTCGACGGAGACTCGGACGATAATTCCAACGAGATTCTGCTCAAGAGTAAGAAGAAAAAGTCGCGGCTAGTACCGCTTGATGAGGACGAGGAGATGGAGAAATACGTCGAAGACGAACGTATTGTTCTCGGTGGCAAATCCGCTCAGCGTAGGCAGGAGATTATCCGCCGTAAGGGTATTCGTGATGCAATCGACGAGGCAGAAGGTGTAGTATCCGATGCCGACTCTGTTGTTTCCAAAGACAGTTTAGAGGAAGAGTGGGAACGTGATCAGATCAGAAAGGGAGCATTTTCGTCAAATGGTCCCGGATCTGTAGCGTCTGACCTTGAGTTGCTAACACGACAACCGCCTCATGTAACCCCGTTACCTAGCTTAAAGGATGCGATGAAGAGGCTGCAGGATTCACTTGCGGCTATGGAATTTAGGAGGGGGCAGACACTGAAGATGGCAGAGAGTCTACAGGCCGAAAAGAATGAAATTGCCGAGAGAGAGAATATGGTCCAAGAAAGACTGAGGGTTGCCGGGGAGCAATATGAGAAGATGAGGGGCGATCTAGGTATGGGCGGAGGCGCTGAGGGAGTAGTTAGCAGAGGACTGGAGAGCTTCGGAAATACACCGATAAGGATTGAAGGAGGAGGCGAATGATAGAAGACGATAATGGATAATAAAGCATGTAGAGTATTTAGAGAGGCTACTCGTTAACCCTAATCATTCGAAGATCCGTGAGGTGATTTTGGAACATAAAATATCACTCGTAAATGAATTTCAC